ATCCCTGTTGTACCTTGGCCCAGAAGCCAGCATTGGCAGTGACCATCTGGGATCTGCAACATCAAAATAAGGGTGAGGGCACTAATTCGCAGGGAAGCCAAGAGGCAACACTTCCCCTGCCAACCGTGATATAGTGCAGTATGAACTTTTTTTTTTCCAGGAAATGAGCATTTCAACATTTAAAAGGCATTTGAAGACATCAAATTTCTTTTCACTGTTGTACCCCAAATGTCTGAAACAATGCCAAGAAAATAGATGCTCAGTAAATAGTTATTGACTGAATAAACATTGAAAGTGCAAACCTTTTTCTACGGTAAGCAAAATGACATGCTTTTGGGCTCCTTTTACCTCCCCATTAAGACACTGAAAATGTATAATTATATCCCCAAGAACAATATTTCAAATGTGTTGAGAGGAGGGGTAAAGTACTACTCAATCTGAAAAATATATTTTTAGATATACTTGTTATTGCTACTTCCACTAAGAATGCGAAAAGGCAGATTCAAAGAGTTGATCAAAATAGTTTGCCCTCACATCAAAAGCACAAGCTACAAAAGAAAAATTGGACCTCTACAAAATTAAAGTTCTGTGATTCAAAGGACTTTATCAATAAAGTTAAAGGACAGTGCACAGAATGGGAAAAAATATTTGCAAACGCAAGTCTGATAAGACTGTATCTACAATATATAAATAATTCTGATACTCTCAACCCAACTAAAAGTGGGTGAAGGATCTAAATAGACATTTCTCCAATAAGATATCTAAATTGCTAATGAAGCATAGGAAAAGATACTCAAACCCTCAATGAGGTGCCACTCACACCCAATAAGATGACTATAATCACAAAGACTGAAATTAGTGTGAGGATGTGGGGGGAAATCAGAAGACTCATACATAGCTGGTAAGAATGCTGAATGGTGAAATCACTTTGGAAAACACTCTGGAAGGTCCTCAAAACATTACAACAGCCAGCAATTTCATTCTTAGGCATAGGCCCAAGATAAATAAAAACATACATCCACACAAAAGCTTGTACCACAGTGTTTTAGCAGCATTATTCATAACAGTCCCAACATGAGAACACCCCAAAAGTCCACAAATTGATGCACTGGTAAATCCAGTGTGGTAGATAAGTTACAATGGAATAATACTCAGCAATAAAAAGAATGGAATGAAGTGCTGATACATGCTATGAAATGAATGAACCTTGAAAACTGTAGGCACAGTGAAAGAAGCCAGACACAAAGGACCACATGTTGTGTGATTCTGCTTATGCCAGATGTCCAGAATAGGTAAGCCTGTAGATAGAAAGTAGATTAGTGGTTGCCTAGAACTTTGGGGCAAAGAAGGAGTGGAAGGAAAAGGGGGATAACTTAATGGGCATGGAATTTTATTGCAGGGTGATGAAAATGCTCTAAAATTGATTGTGGTGATGATTAGTTACTACTCTTGAATATATCAAAAACCATTCAATTGTTCATTTCAAGTAGGTTAAGAGTATGGTAAGTGAATTATATTTCAATAAAGCTGTTGTTTGGTCTTAATAATTGTTATTGTTATTCTGGTGATCTGATAAAAGAAATTAGCATGAATGTGGAATGTGTATGTTGATTCAGCCTTATATAAACTCAGCGAATTGCCGAGTAGTCAACTATTCCATAACACTGCATCTGAATTAAAACCCTTCAAAAAAAAGGCAAGTTCAGGTGTTTTCTCAGTAGAAGATTAAAATATATTTTAAACAGACTTGTGACATCTAGCTTGAATCCATTCTTACTCCAAAGTGAAATAATTTTATGCCACGCAATTAAGAGCATCATGAAAAAGAAATTATATTTTCTGTTCATTCTAAAGTAATAAATGCATTAAGTGTAACTTTTTTCAAATATTAAAATACCAAGATATAGTCTACATATTATAACTATGTAAAGTACTTTTAAAAATAAATTCTAAACAATCTAATAAATTTAAAATAACCCTGGTGGTGTTATGGTCTTTATAAAGCTATAGGTACATATCCAATATACAGATACATATTCCAAAAGGTATATTAATTTCATAAAACTATTTTTGTAAAATTAAGCTCAATGTTATGTATACACCAGCATTACATGAATACGAAACTGAAAGGACTATAGTCACCCCTTTCACACATAAGAAAACTGAGCCTAAAAGTGGTTAAGTTTTTCCAACAATCATGATTGGGAAATCCCTGGTTGGAAACCAGCTTTCCCAGTTCCCAATTCTCAAGGAAATAATGCTCTCATCATACCAAAATTCCAAAACAGAAAACATATTACTTGAAAATCTACCAGTATGTAGAAGGATACTACATTTATATATCTGTTTAATGTTTATATCCTTGAATATATATTACTTGTTCATTTCCATCACTGATAATGCTTTCAGACTTTGAGCTCCTGGAAAGTTGCAATCATATGTCTACTTACCTACTCACATACTCAACTTCTTTCTCAACTTATCCGAGCACCTATTTTTAAGAATAAATATCAGTGAGTTTGAAACACAATGTGGTAATAATTAATAAATTTCTAATGTAAGGCTTAAGAAAACTTTCATGTAGATGAGTCAATAAATTTCCCATGAGGAACCTGTTTACACTTTGAAATAAAGGATTCGCTAGAGAGCATCTACACAGCACTGGTCAGCTTTACTATGACTCCTGAAAGCTCATAGAATTATTTTTAGTGACTCTGCACCAACTTTGTTTACAGATCCCTCTTCTTGCCATCCACATCTTTCCCAGAATTAACCTACTCCAAAAATCACTCTTCTCGTAGTGAAACTTTAGCTACCCCCAAAGTGGCTGTTTATCTCTTTCCTGCTAAGATACAAGTTGCTGATAACTTTAAATTTGGAGAATAATTGTCACATTTTAAAAGTGAGATTCTTTTTCACTTTTTGCTCAATATTTCACTAATTAATGTAAAGAGTGAGCGTGATCTTTTGCTATATCAGCAACATTGTGTGCCAACCTCCTCTGGAGGCCCCCACAGTCTCCTGACCCCCTACATTCCAGAAATCAGGGGTCAGCAACTGGGTGTCCCGTTTGTGAAAAGCTGTTGACCTCTGGAGGGAGCTTGTGTAGAAGCAAGTGTTAATTTTCAAAATGTGACTGGCTGTGATAGCAGCAACCTCATCCCATCACAATGTCCCCTGGAATGTTTTCTAGTCAAGGGCCTAGAAGTGATCTGTCATCACCGGCCAGTGGTACAAGCAGCTCATTCTTGTACACTTGCCCTTCTCTCCTGGATCCAAAACAAACCATACCATTTCGCCCTCCTCACATTTGAATTTTCATGTGTTCAACATTATTCAGGGCTTCACCTTTAATTACATGGTCAGGGCACCAAGAAATGTGATATTTAACATGTTAAGTATGAGACCCCAGGCCGATTTTGCCATACTTGGGATTGAAAACTGCAGAATTTGCATTTGGGGTATACATGTGAGTGCTTATTCTTGGAACTACATTAATAGACACTTTAAATGATACCCTCCAAAGTCATAAAAGGATTTAAGTGACACACTTTAATATATAATTTCTTAAGCACTTTTTTAATAAAATACAGATATATAATTATAATTATCAATGCATGTATGTCATTTAATATAACGATAAAAAGCTAGTCTTTGAAGTGACAGGGTTATTAATATTTACAGTAAAACCTAAAGGAAACATTTATACGATATACCTAAATCAAAAAAAAAAAAATTAACAAAAAATTCTACTTGTATTGTGGTGTCAACTCATATCCCCACCAACAAAGAGGAAAATGCTCTCCATATTAATACATATTGCTGTAGAGCATTACCTTTCATGTTTTCTCCAGATGGAAAACTCTTGTTCTCCTTGATTTATACCAAGCACTGAGCTTGGATGTACTCATGAGGACTTCCCCCAAAACTTTGTCAAGATAGTAATACCATACACAAACATCTTATTTAGATTTACCTATTGGAAATATTTTCACATCCCTGCATGGTAATTTTTAATTTAAAAATCAATACTAATTTGATGAATTGCTACAGAAATTTGTCAAGATCTATAAAAAGAGTAATAGCCTGTGCAAATATTATTCAAATAGTAATTTCCCTACATAGCTAACAGCCATGCTGTTTTAAAGTAAGCAAATCAGCAGCTACATCCTTTCTCCATCTAGAGATTATTGAAAGCAATTCTATTTAGCACCAACTTTGAGTTTTCCAAATACATGAAATTTAATGAGTCCATGGGCACACATTATGTAGTTTCTCCACACACATATGGTAATGCCTCATTAGGTATGCTTAGCCTTCCCTATTCACCTTACAATGTGCTGTCAAACTTACTTGTTTTGAAATCTTAAACCACATGTACATTATTTTAGGGATTTAAAAAAAAAATGCTGTTTTCATTTCTCCGGTTTCAGAGTTAAAATTTGTATGGAGGTTACAAAGTTTTATAGCTCCTTTATCATAATTAGTATCTTCCTCCTGAATTTTCCAAGAGGATCTTTATAGTAATGGGCTTTGGCCTTTGCACTATAGTCCCTGAAAGACAGATTCCTGGAGATAACCCCCTGAAATTCCTTACAATGTTATTTAACACCAGAAAGGCCTCGAATCTGTCTGTTTTGAGGAAAACTCAGACAGAGGGACAAGGTTAAGGAAGGGGGAGGTTTCAATTTGTAAGACTCACAAGACATAAATAAGTAGCATAAATGTCTTGTTCCTTACTTATTGGTCAGGAATCTCAAAGCAAGATGGAACAAACATCCTGAGTTAAAAGCTACACTATAAAAACCTAAGGGATAGATGACAATATTTCTCCCTTTGATTTAAAAAGACAGTATTTCTTATTGGAATCAAAGAATTAGAGGTGAATTTATTTTCTGTCATTCCACTCATATCAATTCCTGTAAAAAGTTGAATTTTAAAAATGTTAATAGTACATTCTGCAATAGTTTATTTAATAAGATGAATAAAATGAGCAAAAAATATCTCGGATACTGGAAATTTATTTTCTTGCAGATGAATAAATACCTCTTATGGGCCCAACAGATAATGAAAAAAATATCATAAGCTCTCTCCACCTTCCTTTAGAAAATAATCATTATGGGTTATGGATTTTGTAGACCCAGAGTTGCTGAATATCTATGGCAAATACAATCAAACAGGAACATAACAGCTAATCCTTCATGATTACAAATACCTCAGAACGAATACTAAGAATTCACTGGCCTCTGCATTTTAGGTTCTCACACTGGGTCCAAGAATAACAGAAATCACAAGGCTCTGTGCTGGTTACTGTTGACTATCAACACTCAAGTATGGAACTGTATGGAGCATTTTTCTGATAAATTGTTATAAATCTTAGTCTGGTTTGTGTCATTGCCAAGTTTTAGGTTTGCCATTTGGATTTTGGAAGAATTTGAAAACTCTGGTTAAACATACTACATTTATGCCAATACTCTGTGCAACTTGATGAACTAGGGAAAAAATAGAGGCCACACAACTCCATGTGCTACATACGGAACACATATATTCCATAGGTAATTACAATCTCACCATGAGAAAGTAAAACTCGGTGAGCCTTCATTTCCTATTATTATATGTACATTTTAAAAGCTACTGAAAGTTTCTTTTCATATTGCTTAAAAAAAAAAAGGAGAAAAAACAAAGAAAGAAAATACATTAGACCAATTCAACTGTAGTTTAACTTAAAGGCTTCATCAGACCATATGTGCAGACACTTGAGATGATGACAGAGTTAAGCTTCCTAGGGTCCTAGAGTCAAAGAAACTCTGCTGACCCCCACTGCTAAGCAGGTGCACTCCTTCCACAGGGGGCAACATCTGTCGATCGGTCATGGTCCCACTTGGTGAGGACCCCAAGAAACTTCCTTGGGAAGAAACAATTTTCTCAGGACTGGCAGCCAGTTTGGGGGATGTGGAGAAATTATATCCATACAAAGCACAGGGGCTGTGTAACCTGAAAGTGTTATAGGAACTCTGATGGGTTTGATTAGTGGCAAAGGCATTGCTGGAGGGTGAAGGCATGATGTACTGAAGCTGGGGGGACATCCCCGAAATTTGCATGGACAAGCTGGTCTGTGGGCAGCTGAAGGTGTCCCCATCAGTAGCACCCATGGACATGTTCACAGAGGCACTGCTGCTCACGCCCACATAGGAGGGAGTCCTGGGTGGGGCAAAGGTCTCGCTGGTCTGGCTGGTGAGCCTGTTGTAGGTCTCGGCCAAGGATGTGCTGTAGCGGTTGAGGGTGAGACCGGAGCGTGCACAGGCGGAGTAGTCAGCTGGGGCCAGACTACACAGCTGGCTGGTGTTGGGACCCAGATGGAAGGCAGGAGAGGAGCAAGGAGAGCCAGACAAAAGATGAGGGTGGGTGGCAGGCACACCATTCCCAGAACCTTGGAGTAATGTGGAAGAACTTGAATTTCCTATAAAAGAAGTTGAAATGTAAAAGCAGTGACTCAACAGCCATCTTTTCCTTTCAATTTTATAAATGTGAGCTAGATCTTGTATGTTGAAAGGGGTCTACAAAGATGAAAAGGAGATAGTCTTGGTGCTCAAAGAATTGTCATTTAATTGAATTCAGATTGAAACATTTTCAACAAAGCTCCTTTCAATATACTCAACATAAATGATCTCCCCAGGGGGTGATGCTTTTTTTGTTTTGGCATAATTATTAGGACACCACCAGATAGAAATTTCACATTTTCTTCCTCAATTAGCTTTCTTGAAGTTTTCCCACTTGACTATAATAAACATTACAAATATGACTTTTCTGGCAACTTTATAAAATAAAAATTTCATCTTACTCTGTATCTTATTCCAAATGTTTAACCATCACCTTTCTTTCATCCACCTTTCAGCAGAGCTTGCTCTGAGTCAATATATTTCCTTATAAGAAAAAAAGATGGGATCAAAACAAAGAGCTGAATTGGTTGAAGCTCTTCAAATCTATTTGCAGCTTCACACGGAAACTGTGTGTGTCAATGATTTTGCCACACAGGGCTTGGCTGCTACAATAAATCTTATTTCCAACCAGAAAGCAGGCTGGTGACTCACATGCTAATACAAAAGCAGGCGTCCAGCAAATAAACAGCCCCATGAAACAGAGAGGGTGGGTAACCACTGCACAATCAATAACAGTGGTGGTGCTGCCCCCTCTCTGGATTTGCTGGCAGATTGATGTTTGCACACTTGACAGAATTGAGGGGGAGAGGTGAATTCCAAGGGACTGGACAGGTTGTAAAACCTTCATGGCTATAGTGACAGTGTTTTATATAGCTTCTCAAAATAATCTAAAAACCCAATCCAATTAATGATGATTAAAACCCCAGCATGCTAAATTCTCACTGGGATGCTGGGCAGGATCAGGCGTCAAAGTCTGAGGGCAGAAGTGAGTTGAGGGTCCTGCCCACAGAGTAAGGAGGAAACATCACCCCTGGGCTAGTGGAAACAGCTGAGCTCAGGGAAGCCTCCTGCGAGTGTGCTGACCTTTTCTTATCATAAACTGAACAGGAGAACCTACCTAGAGGCAATTCTGCTGAAGAAGAGAAGAAAGACACTGACAAGAAAAAGAAAACTGAGTGGAGCACTGACAAGTCCTTGAGAGGTATACCTGGAATCAGAGCCCATTGGTGTACCTCTTATTTTAATAAGAAATTTAAGGGGGAAGAAAGCCCATGACATATACAGAGAGTATAAAATATCCAAGACTTGACCTTTGACCACAACAGTCACTTTTCTTGATCCATCTTATACCTACAGGACAGATTCTACAATAGGAGGATGTTGGTGATGAGGCTGCCATTATAAATGTAAATAATGACTTGTGCATTTTTTTGGCACCTAAACTTCTAGGCAAGAGATGGCTGTATATATGACCCAAGAGACTGTGACTTACCTTGCTTGGGAATTCCAGGAATATCTTCAAAGGTAAGAGTCCGTAGTGAAGGCCTCCAGAACGCGTATGACTCCACAAGGGCTTCCAAACCCATTCTAAATTGAAGGATTGGAATGGGGGTGAACAAGAAGCCTAGTTAGGAGCAATTGGAGCTTTCAGAAGTAATAAGCTCCTCAGAAGACAGCACTGGCATTGAGAGTACCCCCTACAACTGGCAGGTTAGGAGTTTGGCACAGGCAGATCACAGTGCTTCAGAGATGGGCTTCCATTCTGCCACCAGGCACATGAAAGAATGGAAGCCAGCTACGATGTCCTGGCACATTCTCAGAGAACTTAGCCAACTGCTGAGCATGAGAGACTGTTTCTGTGGACTAAGGAACTAAGGTAAAGAGAGTCCAAGGTTGATGTGAACCTAAGGCTCTGTCATCATCTGGAACCCACCTACTCTTCCTGTCACATTACTCCTCTCCAATGAGGAAGCCTTGGCACAAGAGCATGCATCTATAAAGCCACCTCTTTTCTTTTTTTTTTTTTAAAGATTTATTTATTTATGTATACATGAGCCGGGGTAAAGGACAGAGACTCAGGGGGGTGAGAGGATTCAGAGACAGAATGGGGAACAGAACAGGCAGACTGACTGAAACACACTGCTGAGGGGAGCAGTGGGTGAGACAGGAGAGGTCTGCTGCACCATGTGGGTTGTTCCCTGACCGGCCAGGGATGGAACTCATGCAGAGCCTGCAGATTGCTTCATAGTGTGGTGCTTAACCCCTTGCGCCACCAGAGAAGCCCTTAAAGCCACCTCTTTTCTAAGAGGCATTTCTGTCCATCATCTGATGCCTCAACAACCAACTTAGAAGAGCCCCCATCCAAGAAAACTGATCTCTCTTTCTCTCTCTCTTTATCTCTCTGGAGCACAATCTCCACCAAACCCAACACAGCCAGATAGGCTCTTCTCGCAATGGAGCCTGGAGGTTGGGGAGGGGGCTACTGACCTCTCAGTTCAATGTGCCAGGGTTCACAGAAGATGACCTCACAGGGTAGAATGGTATATGGAACTAGTATTTCAAAGCCCCTACACATAACTACAGAATGCATACTTGAAAAGACAACCTAAGTTGGTTGTAGATTATTAGCATGACATGTATATGGTAAAACCAGGGCAAATACTCTAAATATATACATAATGCATATATCTCCTATCATAAAGTGACTCAGTCTTGCCCTCCTTTGATTTGATAACCAAGTCCTTTAAGGTCTAGAAAAGAGGCCTTTTATTCAACTAGTCATTCTCAAGACCTCGCCAGCAACCACCTTAGAACCTCACCTCACCTCAGAACAACCACCTTGTTCTTCTAGATGAATTGTGCTTTTCATGAAACATATCCCATTGTAGGAAATGCCTGCTCTCTTGGTGGCACACAAAACTCAGGAAACTCTTGTGATTAATAGATACAGTTTTATTTAATACAAACAGCCAGGGTTTAACACAGAAAAAGAGATAGGGTCAATCTTTAATGGTGTAGACTTAACGTGCCACCCACTCTGTATTCCCTTCAAGTCTGAGTAATCAACGGGAATCTAAGACAACAGAAAACCATCTCAGAGAGTCAACACCTATACCACATGGTGAAAGCTCACTGCCTGCTATAGTAACATGATCTGTGCAGATAAAAGCATCTCACCTGGTCCATAGAATTTGCTTCCTTAGAGTGTTCAGAGTGGGAACACTTCAAAGAGAGTCACCTGTTCTACTAGTGACAGTACGAGGCTACCTAAAGGAAGAGCTGGACACGAGAAAACCTGCATGTGCCTTACTGGGCTGCACAACAGGGCAGAATCTGGCTTTGTTATACCACAGAAAGGACTATTTGTGGTCATGTCTTGGAGAGGATACTGGGTTGAAGAACTGCGTAGTGACCATAACTCATTAAAACTCACACTGTGACCTTAGGTAAATGTTTTAACCTCCCTACATTTCAGTTCTCCACAAAGTGAGGATTAGTCTACAAAAGCTCTGAATCCCCATCTAGCTGAAAAGTTGTTTGATACTAAATGATTTCTCCCAAACTGGACATTGTACCTGTGGCTGACTACAGACCAAATGAAGATCACTGCACTTAGTAATATTTGATGTACAGCAGGTTGCATTAACTCTCAACTAATGAATATCGGGTGCTGTTTAACTGCTTACTCTATATTAAGCTTGCATTTATACTAATGTTTTATGTCTTTTGAAAAACAAAGTTTTTAAATGCTAACGAATGTTAGGATACAATTTCGTATAAAACTGATTTTTGTATTACCATATAGATGGTAATTGTAGTTTTAAACTGAAGTTTTAGTAATTAGTCAAATTGTAGTTTTAGTAATTGTAGTTTTAAATATTAAGGTTACCAAAGAGGTCATGGGGTGATTGTCTCAAGGGGTGTTTCCTAGGAGGTAATCACTGAGCATCTACTAAACTTAGAAATTTACTAACTACAGAGAAAAGAGACGAGCATCGCTGAGGGCTTTGCTTTAGCAGTGCAAATTTTATTATGCTCCAAATATAACTTCAACAATAGAACAAATTTTGGGAGATAAGCTACTGATCATCACAAACATTTAACCCTAAGATGTGAAAGTGGCATAGCTACAAGTGATCTGATTTTGAGCTCTTGATATTTTTCTTAAGGCTGCTGTTTCACACTGCAAGTTCCAGAAAGGATTTCAGATATTTTGCAGGAAACAGTTATAAAATATTTATTAGCTGAATCTGGACTTTTTTTAAAAAGCCTTCATTTTCTCCAGTAATGGAGACTTTCCCGTCTAGTTAAAGAAAAGATAAAAGGCACCTCCTGCAGGAGTGTAGTCAAGGCGATAATTTATACAAGATGCCTTTGAACAATTTCCACATTTTATCACCACCCTAATTTATGCTATCAAATAGCCAAGTTTATTTAGTAAAATGGTTATGTTTTTCCTGAAGTATTTAAAGAGAAGAAATTTTTGTACCTTCCTGAGTAAAAAATTTTATAGGGTCAAACCTAAGGCCTAACTGAAGAATGAAACTATTCTCAGCACATAAATTCTCTTTCACATAGCAAATGTCTTGCAGGAGAGCTTTTAAGGGCTGAAGCTACTGATTCCTATAAAATAGGCTGTAGAACCATAAATATCCAGGAAGGAATAATTTTTAATTAAAGCAAACTATTTTATAAAGTTTTAAAAAATCACAAGTTCATGTGTATTTGTTGTCCTGCTCAATTTGTTTATTTCATGTTTGTAGGGAAAATAAAATAGAATTTATTTTTAAAAGCAATAACAACAGCACGATACAACCGGGGTAATAAAGATATATATTGAAACTTTTTCTCATGGGCTTCCTTCTCCATTAGCATATTAAAAAATATCACCCCCTTCACCAAGTTTAATATATAATTTGGACTTTTTTTAAAGAAAATCTTTAAAGCTGACTAAATTCATTCTTTTCTATATAAGATGTCTTTTGCATTTATCAATGGAAAAATGTTAAAACATTTTTTTACAAGATGGAATACTGATCTATAGATATTGGACATTCTACAAAAAGCACTAAAGAAAATATCAATAATGAGTGGAAATAATTTCAATGAGAAAAAAAGGTGAAAATATTTATTTCACTAACTAGCTCTGTATAGGTTCAACATGTTTCCATTTATTAAGACATTACTTAGATATTGCTTAAGTATTTGTTGCTAAATAAAAAAATTTTAATTTTAGTAAAAGTTTAAAAGTGCTAAAGCATAATTCATTATTTTAATACATTCATGGAAAACTTTGAAAGTGTTAGAGTTAGAAAAGAAACAGTAGCAAGCCCTTAGATTCCCTATCGATAAACTCCAGAAACATCCAAAGGGAAAGAAAGAACTGTTATCAAACTTAGCATTTTGACCTGATCATACCAAACAAGAGTTTGTCATTTTTCACTGATTCTACTGATTTTTTTTCACTGACCAAATTAAAAAACCAAACATGTCTTCATTATGCTTATGGATCTAGAATTGTTCCTAAAACCCATCATAGTCATCTTATCATTTTGCTTTTAATTGTAGAAGTTTTATTCAGTATTATTATCTATTTAATATACTTTAAAAATATTTTTACATTTATTGCTTCAAATATAAACCAACAGATTATAGCAGTGTAGTCCTCCAGTGTCAACAGCAGTGGGTCTTTGCTAAAACAATCCTATAGATCAGGCTATAGAGTAGCCTGATCACAGTTTCTGACTGTACACTCTCCTAGAGTTCCAGTAAAGTTCAAAAATTCCTTCTCTGCTTATGAAGAGAACTGAAAGTGGTTCAACACTTTTAAATGGGTAACTACTATCCTGCTATAACTAAAACCATAAAAATATTCTACCCAAATATTAGTCCAAGTAGAAAAGGAGTTATCCCACAGGAAGGCTCCCTTCAGCCACCTCATCAGGGACCACCTCAGTTACAAAATTATTCAATTTCCAGAGATGCCACTGAAAAGGAAAGTTAACCAGGAGCTAATGTAACATAAGAAAAGTTTTTTTTTTTTCTGCACATTGAAACAGACATCTAAAATATAGCAGACAACATGTGTCAGGAATACCTTCAAACCTCCCTATAGAGTGAAGAATTTCAGAGGGAAGCCCTGTCAGTACACTTTCGCTGCACGTTAGTCCTCACATTGCATGCTTTTAAAACAATGCATTTAGCATGAAATCAAGTCTACAGACACATGGGTATATTCTGAGAAAAGGTCTCTGTCTACACTTACCTTGACCAATTAATCAGCTAAAAAGAACTAAAATCTGCATACTACTGATTATTTTCTCCAAATACTAAAATAAAATTGTTCCTAAAATAAGATGACTAGAATTTTGACTTCATGTAGACACAAACTATTTTTAAGGAGTATTAGAAAAATTTCTGGAGCAAAGTAATAAAAAATGCTCTAATATTTCCTTTTAAAAACAAGACACTTTTAAAATATTTAAAGTCTTACCTTAAAAAGGCATTTGGTGAACATTAATCTATTATTACTCTATGTTACTATCAACAGTTACTTTAGAAAATGTACCATACTGTATTGGAATAAAAACATATCAATAAATTCAAAAACTCTTGGCACACAGACGAGGGTGATCTGCTTTCTGATAAAAGTAATAGGGTAGATTTTATGATTGTAGGTCTCCCACTTAGTACAAACACCATAAAACAAGACACAGAAAAAATAAACAAGTGTGTGACTGTTTGCTGAGCCAAGACAAATTTGGAAAGTAAAGAGCATCTTGGCAAAGGGGAGTAGTTTCACATTCAGGCTGGAAATCTGAGGGAACAAGAGATCCCATATTCCAAAGGCAGAATCAATCGATAGGTGTGACATCACCAAGTAGATTCTAAACCAAGAGTAGAGGCAGAGAGGATACAGGCTGGGGGCTGGGGGCCTGAAGGGGTCCTTTCAGAGACAGCAGCACACATGCTAAAACTTCCATTTCTACCCCAGAATCACACATTAATGTTCACCTTAGAAGTGGGCAGGCCAAAATACATACATACACTCCAAAATAAATTATCTCCAAGGCCCAATAGTGTTAACAAACTTGAATCTTCATGAGCAATTATTTCAACAATTATTCAACACTATTATTTAATTTTATAAATGAAAATTCATAATAAAATTGGACCCAGTATGTGGCAACATGCACAAATGCACCAAGAAGGTGGGATAGTCAGTAAATACGGGCCCATTTATGGTATCTCCATCAGGAAAATGGTAAAGAAAATTGAAATCAGCCAACATGTCAAGTGCACTTGCTCCTTCTGTGGCAAAACAGATAAAAAAAGGAGAGTTGTGGGATTTGGCACTGTGGTAGCTGGTGGTGTCTAGACACACAGTGAGTCTGTTTCTTGGTGGTATTTAGTAATGTGTGGATTATGTCAGAATTCGGGTTTAACACTGGATAGGCTAGTTTTAACTCTTCATGACAGAAACATCACTTCTGCAGTCACAGTCAAGTCCTTCATCAGATAACTTCTGAAGGAATTGAAAGACCAGTAGAAATTCCATAATTTGAAACATTGCCAGCCTATAATAGATGGGTTAATTTATGTAACAAAAAAAATCAAATATATTTATCACAGAGAGACTTCACACTAACTTACCGATTACGTCCAGAGTCTCGGAAACCTTTGGCAAATGGATTCCTATCTATCTTCAAGCGAGTAATCTGCAGAACAGACGAAAAAAAAAATCATATCAGATCGTATATAAATGGCAACTGAGGTTATTGTAAGTGGAAAGTATAGGAGAACTACAACTAATTCCAAAATTAACTATTAAAGGATTCTATTGTATTCCTTTTCCCTATTTCCCAGATACATATTTTGTTATTTTAGCAGTAAGAAAATTTCAGAAATCATCTAAAATACTCATCTGCTGTGGAAAAGACACTGGGCACTCCCCATCCCTATTCAAGTTCTAGTAAAAGGATAAAAGTTTGTTTTACTTTTAATACCCCTGGAAAAGGATATTTGGAATCCAAGGATATTTGGAAGGTCCTAATGGGATTAAATCTTATACCTATAGTAGAAATATTTTAATCTGAACTACAACTCTTACTTGTTGATTTATACTCAGCTTTTGTCCAATGAGACCCCAAGATTTGGGGGGGGGTGTAATAAATAATCTAATTGTTTCCATTAAGAATATTTTTTTTAGTTATGCCAACTTGAAATTGACACTAATAACATCCTATCTATTCTACTTCCTACCAGACCTCCATTTGGCCCAAAGGAATGTATAGCCTTTTTTCTAAGAGGCACATCATGCTTTATTATCTGTGTTCTTTGACATAACAATCTGCAGTTAATACAAACACTTCTGATTTTATCACTTTCATTAAGGATGAACATTGTTGGATAATACAAAAGCAAAGCAAGGCATCTTTGGAACATCATCAGCAGTCTGCCCATAGTGTCCTATAAATGGTCTCAGCATGCTCCAACGAGCCATGCAACATCTGAGATACATGTGCACCAAATAATACTCACTATCTGGATAAAACTACGTTATAAAGATAAAATTAATACAAGACTTTAGTACTTCCCCATGATTGCCATTCTGGGAAATCTTAACAGATCATTATGGCGCAGTTTTCTTTTCATTTAAATAATGTTTCAACAACATTAAATAATTTAAATGTTCATTTAAAACAGTATTTTTTTGAAGTGCAAATGTATTTAATGGTGCCTTGTCAAAAGAGAGCAGTATATGACAATTGCTAATATCATTATCTTTATTACTAACATCATATTTGTTGAGTGCATGCTGCATATGTTGTACTAATTTTCATCACAATTTATGCATAGTAATTTACATCACAATTTTATGTTTTTTTGTTAAGTGAGGCTTTGGTTTCTACAATTACAAAGTTAATAGGTGGTAGAACCCCAGTTACCAGAGCCCATTACTATTAACCAGCAGGCAGGCTGCATAGCAATAGCTGGGGTTAAAAAATTAAAATGACTATATTTTATAGTTAGCAACCTCCTTTCTATTTTTAAATTGATTTGTTAACATTTGCTAATTGTTGTTAATCACCACCATGTACCAAAAGCCCACTGCATCTCATTTATTTTATCACAGGGGCTGGGAAAAAATACACATGTAAGTTAATTTCTGTGTGCATGTGTGTGAGAGAGAAGGGAAGAGGAAGAGAGGTGAGGGGAAAAAGAGCCTGGGATTATTAAAAAGATATTAATGTCTCTGTTATTTTTCCTCATGCATTACTTTTTCTTAGAAAGTCATTTTGTGCACATATTTTAAGAACATCTTCCTAGTTATCTTAGCCTCTCTAAAGTTCAATTTTATAATCCTTCCTAAAATAGAGTGTTGAGCCTCTTAGCCTAAGAAGTTTCAAAACCAAAGAAATTACAACAGAGAGATTATAAAGACTTAACATTTTTACTGATAGATATAGAAAATGCAAAGAGAAGTGGAGACCTAAAATAATTCTGCAGACCACTGAAATTAAAAAAAAATCCTAACACAAATCACACAAGCGTCAAGTACATTGCTCTTTCTTAGGAAAACTGGCTGGAATTGCACAGGTCAAATATTTGCCGCTTATTCAATTCCCCACCTACTTGATACAGGTTTGAAGAAATGTTTATTGAGGATTTTGCATCTATGGTCATCAAGGATATTGGTTAGTCTAGTTTTCTTTTTTGTGATGTCCTTGTCTCCTTTAGGTATCAGGGTAATGCTAGCCTCATAAATTGTGTTTGGAAGCATTTCCTCGTCCTCAGTTTTTTGGAAAAGTTTTAAAAGGATAGGTATTAGTTCATCTTTGAAGGTTTATTAGAACTTACTACAGAAACCATCTGGTCCTGTGTTTTCTTTTTTTGGAGACTTTTGATTACTGTTTCAATTGCCTTGCTTATACTCATGGACTGTTCAGGCTTTCTATTTCTTCCTGACTCAGTCTTGAAAGTTTGTGTGCTTCTAAGAATTTTCCCATTTCTTCCAGGTCATTCAATTTCTTGGTAAAATGATGTACATAGTAGTTTCTTATGATCCTCTGTAATTTCTCATTTGTTTCTATTTATTGTTTTCTCCTTTTCTGTTTTCTTTAGTGAGCCTAGCTAGAGATTTGCTATTTTATCTTTTATACATACATACACACACAGACACACACACACACACACACAATGGAATACTATTCAAATATTTAAAAGATGAAATTTTGCCATGGATGGAACTGGTAGGGATTATGCTAAGTGACATAAGTCATAAGGAGAAAACCTAAAGCCGTATGAGTCACTGATATTGAATATAAAGGAACAAAACAATGGGAATGGTCCAGACAAACCAAACTCCAGAAATCTGACTGCAGAACTGGGGCTACCAGAAGGGGAAGGTACAGAATGGGGCCTAAATCAGGGAGTGGGCTCAACAAACTGTGGTGGAAGGTTATTGGTTCTTTGGTGGTGGGCCTAGTGTGCTAACAAACATCTGAAGAGGTGTGAATCTATACCCCTAAATCATATACAATGTTGGAAACTACCTCAATTAAAAGTAATACAATTTTTTAAAAATATAAAATAAAAATTAAAATCAAAAGAAATATTTTTATCCATACAGAAGAAAACATATTTTGCTTTTCAAACTATTTCTAATTTTATGAAAGGATTATTCCATAATTACCAATCTTTCAGATTATAAGCATGTACATACCTTCTATCACAATTAAAGCATATCTTGAAAAAAATAGCCCTTTTTGTGTATATATATATATATATATATATACCAAAATGATCATATAGGATAAATTCTTCTGAAATATCTCTCATGATAGACTGCAGTTTTAAAATAAAGTAAGCCGCCAAATCCCATGTCCAATTCACTTTTCAATTTTACATGTCTAATCCTGGGTGATACACATGTTTTCTTATTTTAATTGTGACATCATGATTTAATTATCTTCAAATGGAAAGTAAACCAGTTGAGAGATACATTTTGATCTGAGACACACTAGAATAGTCTTACTTGGGGGAATTATGCACCAAGAATTGTTATTATAATACACACACAAACACACACACATACCCTGGACATCACAGATGGAAACTGCTTTATGATAATTCATATTGTTTAGATACAGTGAAAAGGACAGCTACCTTTCTAGTTATGCCTGAAAAGAAGAATCTAGAAAGATACTAGTTCTGAGAACAATACCTGCTGATTCTGATAGGCAGTGACTGTTGTGAACACAGTTTCTGGAAAGGAGAAAGCCTTCACTCCTTCCCCAGACGGAACGGGCTTGATGGGGGAAAGATCGTCTCCGCAGTCTTTACGGATAACGTGGACTCGTGGTTGATATTTGTGCATAGAATGCAGAATAATCTGTCAAGGAAATAAGTCAATTTATCAGGAAACTGATCTCAATCTCAATACCAGGACTAAACATGTAAAGGGTGAAATAAATAAACTGATCTCAATCTCAACACCATGACTAAACATGTAAAGGGCGAAATAAATGAAAAGTTCTAAGGATGCAGAAGTGTCCATTTAACAGAACATATCAATATTGGAGAGAAGTTTAGAAAGTTATCAGTAAACTTTGTCATCAAATACAAAAGAAAAAAAGAAATCGCTATTTTAGTGGAATGATATATACAACCATTAAAACTGAATATCAAATTTCTATTGCTGGAAATGCAATAATACAATCATAAGCATTTTATTTACAATGAGCCAAATGAACCAGTCCAAACTAATAAAATTAAAAAATGGGATTGAGGGCCTCCCTGGTGGTGCAGTGATTAAAGTCTCAGTTCCATCAAGCTATCAGCAGCCATTGTGATCTGAGTTCAATCCTGCCCAAGAAGCAGAGCCACATGGCATAGCAGACCTCTCCTGTCTCTCCCGTTGCTCCCCCTCAGCAGTGTATTTCAGTAAATCTGCCTGTCCTGCTCCCTACTCTGTCTCTGGTGAATCCTCTCACCTCTCGGCACCTCTGGCCTACACGCCAGTTCTTATATGCATAAATAAATAAAAATAAATCTTTAAAAAAAAACCAAGAATTTAGATGATAAACAAATCATATGGCATTATTCTTAAAAAATGGGATTGAAATGATTATTTAAATTCCACCACACTCATCCCACCCAAAAAAAAGTATTTGCACATGAGGTTTTCTTTAGAAGGAATTTATTTTACTATTGGTGACTATCATGTGTATTTGAGGGCAAAGAAAACTGTGAGGATACTCCAGGGTCTGTCTTATATGTAAAAGTTTTTCACTTGTCCAAATAACCCTGTGTCCATGTCTCCTTCACAAAAAGGCTTCCAAAACACTGATGTCAGGAAGTACTCTCAGACTCTGCTAGGGGGACGTGATAATTGGTTTAATTATCTTCTAATTCCACTTCTGAGAATTTCTCCTAAGTAACTATTCCAATACCAGAAAAGCATTACACGTACAAAGATGAGCATCATGCCATTTACAACCATGGAAAAACTATAAACTGCTTATAGTAGTAGACTGGGTTGGTAAATAAAAGTTCACACAATGGGACACAGTATTAGTCCACTGTTACTAATGTTGTTTAGGTCATTTTAACCACATAATAAAATGTTTCTTTTTGAGTCTTAAATGATAAAAGAAGATCTAAGTTGTGTATAAACTTCTCCCAACAACATAAAAATACCAAAAAGAACCCACAGAAAGATATGAATGTGATCATCTCTGGATGAGGAGAACTGTGGGAAAGGCTCTATGCTTTCTTTTTTTTTAAAGATTTATTTATTTATGCATACAAGAACTGGGGTACAGGCCAGAGGTGTGGGGATGAGAGGATTCACCAGAGACAGTGGGAAGCAGAACAGGCAGATTTACTGAAGCACACTGCTGAGGGGAGCAGCAGGAAACACAGGAGAGATCTGCTGTGCCATGTGGGTAGCTCCCTGGCCAGGGATCGAACTCGTGCTGCAGAGGCCATGGATAGCTTCACAGTGCTATGCTTAATCCCTTGCGCCACCAGGGAGGTCCTATGCTTTACGCTTTCAAGGCCAGTGGTGGGATGGGGTAAGGAACTACTCTCATTCACTGGGATTTTCTATTTGCTACTGAGAATACATATTCAGGTATTCATTAATGAATTTAGTTAACAGATTTATATCTTTCCTGAGCTATAAGATTTAAATTCAGGTTGGGTGTTAGGAGATGAAGGAAAGATGCTTACACAAAAGTTACAAAAAACAGTGATTGACCAGTCTCAGGTTGCTCAGGATGCAGACAGTTTCACAGAAAGAATTCAGCATCTTTGATCATTCCAAACACATATCATCCCATCCCTGGAGAGGGTGCTCACTGCCATAGAGGATGTCTTACTGACTGGGAGTAACCAGCACTGTGGTCAGTTTTGGTGGCTTTTCCTCAATTTTTTTCTTTCTATCAGTGGAGGAAATGCCTGGATAAGCAGAACTAAAGATCATGCCCATGGTCATGCTTGACGCGGAGAATAAGGGAGTAGGATAGCTGGGGACACACACAGATCTGCAGCCACAGAAAGTTCTCTTTCCTGGTCTGATTACTGAAATTTCAGTATTCCATTTAGTGCTTCATGAAATCAATATATGGTTATAACCAGAAGTAATTTTAAGTAAATAAAATTATAAAATAAAGTGGAAAAATGGGTGTGTGCCTGTAGTAAGGGTAAGTACTGCTTTACTGTTCTTATGGGGTGTGGGTGGTCATAACATAACATGTATATCTTGCTGTGTGTCAGGTAAAAAGTTTTAAAAACAGAGAAACAAGATTTAATTCTAACAAGTCTAAGGATCCACAAGTTCCAGAGTGGAAGATTAATTGGAGAAAATGACATTAAACAAAAAGAAATAAGGGCAACCCCAGTTTCAGGATATTGGAGGGAGCTGACCTAGAATGATAAAAACAGAAATTGATTTGGGTTTCTGTTTACTAGTCAATGAAAAGGAGGTTCTTATTTCATGAAGATCTCTCAAACATATTTCTCCACATAGCTATACACATTTTAATTGTATTTACTTGTTTATAAACATACTAAATTTCCAAAATGACTTAAGGTAGGTTATGTTTGGGTAGGGTACAGAAATAGTTGACATATGCTTCTTTTGCACTTTAGTAACTTGAAGATTATTTAAGCAAAATGATATATTTCCAATATGATCTATAGGAATTTAGTAAATCCCTGGAAAATTGTAGGAAATGCTAAACAAGCTACAGTTCTTCTTAATAAAAGAGCATTACTTGTTTTTCTAATGAATGATCAAAATTATAATGCTGATTAGTCAATAATAATCTGCATATTTAATAGAACAAGTAGAAGCAGGAGAATCACTAGCCTTATCAACAGGAGACCACAAAGATAAAGCATATTAGAGAAATTAAAATAATTACACCTCATCTGCATGTCCCATGCTCTCTATCCTATTGAGATGGAAGACTTTTGCTTCTTTTTGGTATTACTTATTAGCACAGATAGTCACATGGCTCTATGTCCACAAACACAGGGTGTTTTTTTCATATTCAGGTTAACACAAAGTTTTTTCCACTTTAAGGATAATTATGTTTGCATCAAAATAAGCATATTACTTTCTTCTGATCTGATAAGGCTAAAGTGCCTGTGGTTTGACATACACACCAGCAGTGTTCTGCCTTACATCAGAGTTTAATGAGGAAACACTACCTACTTACTTTGGAATTTTCTAGATGGCCTAAATGGCAGCGTTGGAACAAGTCAAGCAACGGTCTAAGTAGAAGCTAGTAACAAAGCCTGGCTCTCCCTGCATTTTGGTGATTCACTTGGCATAGTGGAATCAAGGCAGTAACACAGGTCACATGCTCCACAGCAATGTGACCTTGTTTTGTTTCAGGCGTGACACTGTATATGAAGCATGCAGTTGACAGCCTCAAGAGAAAAGGCCTGTGGTCCCCCAAGGAAGAGGAATTTCTGCCTCCATACTTCCTTCAGTAATTTTCTTGCTTCCAAACTGTACAGTTTCTCTACCTACTCCCCACGTACTTTCAAATTCAACCGGTCATTTGATTCACTCAAAATCCTCTAATTCCAATATAACCCGTAAGAAAACCAAGGCTCAAGAGTGGAAAACACTTGTCCAGGCGTGTGAATGTGCTGGACCTCTAAGCTGTTGTAAGTTCCTCCCATCAGGGAGGTTCTGGCAATCGCCGCTGCACTATCTTGCCTGCCACTTATTCTCAGGGAGAAATGGGATGAGGGGGTGGACAAACTTGAAGCTAGGGCAACTCTATCAGTGAATCCTCAGCAGCTGGGAGAACAGGCCATCCCACAGATTCCCTGGCTGTGGCTGCCTGGTCCTTCCTTCCAAAGCACTACTCCCTAGCACAGTGGGTACAAATCCTGCCAAGGTTCATGATGCACCATATTAATGACTTCTAATTCTTCATGGGAATGATCACCTAAATGTTTTCCTCCTGTGAATGTGCACCTTGAAGGAAATGCCCTACCCAAGCATGCTGATCATCCAAGGACTGGTCCAATATAAATCTGGCTATGAATTCCCCAATGAGCAAGTAGGGATTACAAAGTCTTTATAACATTCAAAAACTAGCTGTGGAGCAGTAGAATATTTCTACTCTAGGGTCTCACCAATATCTCTTTCTAAACAACCCCTGGCAGTTGGAAAGCTGAAAAGTGACTTTGTGGAAAACCACAATGGCACATAAGCTCACGTCTCAGTCAGTCCCGTGAGGATTTGACTACTGTAATCATTCACTAAATTAATCCAAGTCCCAGTTCTCTATGGAGTTTACAAATCACTATGTAAATACTTGTTCACCTTTAGGAGAATAAAACTGGAAACTGAGAGGAAAAAGAATTAAGAGAGCAATTCAGAAAGCAAATTAGACAACCACCACTCATTTGAGTTCACAGCTTGATTAGTTGGAGGTTGTGTCACTTTCTTTAGAGTTGGGTCACGCATTGGTCTAAATGTTGTTGCAAAGATATTTTTTGCATGAGATTAACATTAAATTAGGTGACTGAGTAAAGAGGATTACCCTCCATAATGTGGGTGGGCCTCATCCAATAGATTGAAAGCTTTAAGAGAAAGACTGAGGTACACAGAGAAGTAATTGTGTCTCTGGACTGTCTCTGGATCTTCAGCCTGCCAACCTGTCCTGCAGGTTTTAGACCTGCCAGTCCCTACATTTTGTGATATGATTCCTTAAATGAATCTTATATAAATATTAATACAAATTCTATTGATTCTGTTTCTCTGGAGAAGACCATTTTAAATAAAATGCAAAGTTACCAAGTTAAAAATCATATAGATGAACTGTTAGAACAATATCTAATATTAGATGCTAGACATTAGAAAGGCAGTAATTTGATGTAAAATATTAAAAGTATAAAATGACTATATTGATTTAAATTATTTTAAAAAATCTGTACCTTATTCATGGCAGTGCCTAGTTTCAGATCCAATTATCTCTTAAAAGATATATTCTCAAATTACAGGACTCAGAGGAATGGAGTATACTTAAAGTATTGAAAGCAAGTAACATTGAGTGGCATTTAATCTAAAATTTTCTGTTTTAAAAAAATTAAAAAAACACCTCAATGGTCATGCTGACAACATTTCCAGTCAGCTCCCCTCAATATGACAGAAAAAAAATTATTTTCCTTGACCTCAGTCAAGTGAAAAATAACTTCTTACAACCTGACTACAAATAAAGAATAATAGGCAAGGAAACAAGCTAATGCACTAAAATACTGAAAATGGTGTTAGATTCAGAAATAAAATACAGTCTTGTTACTTTTCAGATTCTATTTTAAATCATAAAGGCAGTAAGCAAAAGCACTAGCAATGTGAGATTTTTCTAGATCTGACTTAACAATCTGGATATTGTATTTGTACCACAATAAAATTAGTACTTGAATGTTTTTTCATTAAGGTCAATTGCTTAATTAAGATGGTGTCTAAAAACTTGCAAATCATATCCTATCACCATTGTATTATGATTTTATGATAGCTTGCATTTTAAAAAGAGATTTGCACACAAATAAGCTATCTTTATATCACCCCTTTGAAAAATAAACTAGTTGGTATTCCTTTTATGTATGATGTACTCTTCAAAAAGCATTCCAATCCTGCCTCAATCAAAAACCTCTAAAATAACAGAAACTTAACTGAAATGCTAACTTTGAACAGAAATGAGCAAAAATCCAGCTACATATTTATTAGAATTATGTGTAGAAATCTTGCTGAAGAACAATATTACATAAAATAATTAATAAGGTTTTAAAATGACCGAATTATTGGAATGACTTATTTTGAATTATGTATGATGTTTCAGCAGTTTGAAGACTAAAAGGAAGTATTATTATAATATATTTGACACATTAGATGTCATTACTAAATAATCTGGAACTTGCAGACGGAACACACAAACGACATAAGCCTGGGTCATTACTAAGAAGCAATAAGCCTCAGCAGGGAAGAGAGCTAGATGCAGGCAGGACACAATAAACCATTATCCCTGTTACCCCAATCCCAAGTATTCATATTCCGAGTAGAATAATTAGCACCTCATGGGATTTTGAACAAATGTTTTGGCTAAAAAAACGTCTGCCTGTGGTTCCTTTACCCCAGTATCTAGTTTTAACCTATTAAATGCTTCATAGGATACTCAAGGCACAAACATAATTTCTAATGCAAATATGACTTTGATTTTGCAGTTTATGCACATTCTGATCAATCAGAAGACAATTATTATGACCTTAAAAAAAAGTAATTTCTTAATTAGGCCCAGTATAAACATGCCATTCTACCCATTGGCGGTATACTAGGGTGGCCATCTACTTACATGGCCTTGGTCATCCAGTTCATTGTTGGTGAGCTTGAGCTTGTCGAAGCTGATCACTTGTCTCATCCAAGTCTCCCCTGAGGCGGGTGAGTCTGGATGAATGTACACCCGAGGTGGCACAGGGGAGTCAGCGTTACCGGCCACCATCCACTTAGAGCTGTGGTAAACATACCTAGAGGACAATGACAAGGTTATGTGGACTTCTGCTTTAGTCTGGAATTTCCAACCCAGTACAAACAGCTGAAATGTATACTCTGGAATGGCAAAGAGCAAAAATCCAGAGTTACTTACGTGTTAAAATAAAGTGTAGAAATCTTGCTGAGGAAAAATACTACACAAAATTAATAAGATGTTAAAATGACCACATTATTGGAATGACTTATTTTGACTTTTACATGATGTTTCAGCAGTTTCAAGACTAGAGGATTTGCTCCTCATGTTCAATGCATATAAAATAAGTTTCAAGCACTTTTCAAAAACTCTCCAAGGCAGCAGAGGTCTGTTGACTACACAAAGTGGTGTGTCAAGGGTTTAGTGCAACTATCTTAATACTCATGCTATCACCACCAAAAATGCAACAATCTAAATTCTTATGAATCACACTTATTCATGTCAGACAGTCTGTCTGTATTCTGACATTTTCCATTTTTTAATCTGGATGTTTAATTGACATGAAATCATAAATATTACATTGTCAAGCTCATCTTTAAGTAAATCCTAAGAGTACTTAAAAGTTATCTAGAAAAGTCCTGTCTTTAAGATTACTACCTATTTTAGGCTTATGTAAATGATGGGGTAGATGATAAAAAGGCAAGGGAAATTTCAGAAATTCAGTGACTCTTGTTTTCAAAGGAAAAAAGGTTTTATCTAATCATTTAGAATAATTTTTCTAATTTTATTACACTCTCAGTTGAGGATAAAGTATCCAGTTTAACTTTAAAATTTCATACAGTCATAAAACATAGGCCTTTATCTCCTATATTTCTTCATAATTATAAAAAGCGCTTCAAATTGCTTTCAAAATACCACTAGTTAAAATGGTATTCTTTGAAGTGGTATTCTATCTAATTAATTTTACACTTTTCTAATACTTTTTTCTGAAAATCCTATTCTGTTTATTTATAAGTATCAAATATATTGACATTTATGTCAAAAATTTTAAATAACATTTGAAGTAATAAATAAGTTCATGATATTTAATTCTATATTCATATTATTGCTAATTATCGTAATTTATAATACGCTAACTCAAAAACTAGAAACTACTAGATTTAGGAAACACTTAGAAAAGTGAAATTATAATCTTAGGTGTTTTTCTCCCATTTCTTAGCTGCATTCCAATACAAATGTCATACCATTTAAAGCAACAATTTGAAATGATCTCAGAGAATTCTACTTATATAGCATGCAAATTCTTTTTAAAATAGTATGAAATGTTTTCATAGTATATCTAATAAAGCCCTCTATTTTTACTATGGTCACATATTTTATCTATTTTGAAGTCAATCTGCCTTAAATTCTTTAGTTCCTTTTCTTAGGGGAAAAAAAATCACAAAATTAAGAAAAGTTAAATTTTTAACTTCCCTTGAATGCTATAGTATAATTTCAATTAATAAGTTCCTAATTGTATGGGCCTTGGTGAATATTAATTTCACACTCTAGTATGTCACAATCATTTTTCACTTGACTAAGTACTACACTTTGATAACAGAATAAAGCAATGTATTTTTTCTACTATTTCTAAAAAAGTCAAAAAATAAAATGCACCTCTTAGAAATATAAGACAAAAGTGTATTATAAATACAAATTGAGGTATTACCAAAATAGAGTAATAGGAGCAAAACTTTGGAAAAGTATCCATACTGAATAGTTCAAAAATCCAAACTCATTAAGTTACTGCTTCATGTTACATATTCTTTGTGAAGCATTCTAAATACAAATGCTAAAACAAATTTCTTCTTGGGAAGCCATTTAAGTGAAACCAAGTTTATATTTTAATATTTGACCTTTTTATAATCTGATATTTTAATACTAATATTTGAAATTGATCTTGTTTTTAGATGAGAGTAATAAGAAGCAGCTAAGTAAAATAAACTATACAAAACATACAGAAGAGATTTGGAGAAAAAGACATCCTTAGAAAGGAATAATTCCTACATTCTTTAAGAATCATGCTATCTTCCTCAGCATAAAACACAAATAAGAATATAGATTTTTAAGTCAAGTATATTTAGAGAATAAATTTCAATGCCTCATGGCTACTGCTATGCAGGAGATAATTTTAGCAAAACTCTGTAATGAGTTAATTTCAATAAATACAACAGTAAACACAATAATACGAAAACACCAATAACAAAACTGTCCTTTTTATTAACCATTCTTAGTATTCCATATGTGCCTTTACTAATTAAATCTGTATGCTTTTGACACCATAAACCTGTTTCAATAAAACAACTCCCTTAATTCTAAAAAGTGATAAAACTAAACCTGATTTCACTTAAAAACTTACCAAATGTTTTAGCTATTTATGAAAAAAGAACAGAAACAGACCACAATTTAAAATAGCATCTCTGATCTTCCACTAAAATTTTCCTTTTTTAAATGTCAGCATTTTTTAACTCAGGAAAATAAAGAGCAGCCATTGAAAACTGCTGATTTTCTTGCTTGCAAAAGAAAAAAAACAAAGGTTGATTTGAAACTGAAGAAAGTATATCTTTTCCAACTTTACTTGATATTTATACAAGTATATCCTCTTTCAAAATCCAAATATTACAAAGTTTTTTAATTACCCTGTTAACTACCAACAAAGCACAACAATAAGGTAACAAATTCAATACCAATTTAAAGATATCTTCATATTATAATGAATTATGAGATTTTATTTTTCTTAGTCATAAAAAAATCTTAATAATTTTCCCAAGTGAAAGGAACAAAGCCTACAAACAGTTGCAATTTTGACTTTGAACAAAACAAGATAAAGGGAACTTTAAAAGATGACAAAAAACCAAAACATTGTATTAAACAATATGTATGTATATCTATAGGCTTTGCTTAACATTTCCTCTCAAAATCCTGACCGAAATGTGAATTAATATGAAAGGCATAGTTTAGCAACACTAAAGTAGCCCCTATTAAAAGTCCTCAATACTTGAAGACATTTCTGTATCTTTTAAAAGCAAAACAAAAATTAAGTTTCTACCTTTACTGCAAGAGAAGACATCATCGTCAGGGCTACTAGACCCGACAAGGGTTGGATTACAGACCTAGGAATTCTATAGACTTCTGAAATAAGCGTCACAGTTGCCACAGATCAAATACCTTTGATTTGCATTGCCTGTAAAATCCTAGTGTTTTTCTTATCCTTTTGCACTCATCCGATCATCATCATACCTGTATCTTTTGTTGTCGACTGGTACAATATCCATAGCAATGTAATATTGCTGGTGGGGATCTAATCCTGAGATCTTGACTCTCATTGCTGGAAACATGCGCCTAATAAAGAAGAGGTGGAAAGAGCATTGGATTTTGTTTGTGTTTGTGATTACACATGGAGGATGAATAAGCAAAGAAACCTCTTGAGTCTCTATTTTTCTTATGGACAAATTTACAGCATTCACTCCGGTTATGAAACTCAAAGAATCAGAACACAGGACATATCAAAATTTAAATGTAATTTTGCTTTACCCTATACACTCATTCTGTGTTTACTGAAATGTCAATATAGTAAAAAACAAAGGAACTGTACACTGAAGAAGTAATGGCACCAAAGAAAGTATTTTAGTTTTTAAGCAAAAATCAATAAGCACATTTATTTTAATAATACAGAAAATAAAATGCTCCAAATGGTGGAAATAGAAAATTTGAATTTCTAAAAGTGATAAAATATATTATAATGTGAAATTTTAAAAGGGTTATAAAAAACCACAAGGAGTCAATGTGCCATACTATAACCAAACAATATGTTCTTTATTGAGACAGGACTTCCTGTCTGCAGCATGGTAAAGGTGAAGTGCAAAAGTTGCTCTAAATTTGAAAGGTATAGTAAAACTCCTTTATTGAAAGCAGAAACTAAACACAATGTGTATTTACCAAATCACTCCTTTCCCCCATCACACCCTGAAAATACTTTCTTATTCACCCACACCTTCCCCAAACTTTGCTAATTAAAACAAAGGAAAATTTGTATTTCTCTTGGCTTCCCAGAGATGAACATCAAAGAGAAACTATAATAAATACGCCTATCTTTTAAAAAGCACATAGTAGTAATACAAGAGCAAATTATTATATATAAAACACAAGTAGAGCTGTTATTTTTTTTTTAACTTTCAGCTCATGATTTATTTCTAAGACCCTTTCAGTTAATCTAATTTTTGCTAATTTAACCTCATAACAAAAAATTTTAGTAGTTATTTACAATTTTTCCATAACAATAATGCCACTAAAGACCACTCCAGAGAAAAGAAAATCCATTATTTCTAACTAGACACGAAAACTGTTTACTACGAGGCTGTTTTAGTGTTATTTCAGTGCACCTGTAAGATAAAGAGTAAAGGTCTTTAACTACATCCTTTATAAGACAACTGTTGCTTTGTGTTGTTGAAGAATGAATTCGGATCATTAATAAAAGCTCTGTGAAAATGTAGAAGGTAAGCATATGGATTCAATAAAATATGTTTTTGTAATTTCTAATAAGTTTGGATACTTTTATGCTGTCCAGGTTTTTGCCATGTGAACTCTCTGAAAGAGTTGTGTGTGCTTTTTAGAGTTCCTTTTAAGGAAGATACTATTCATAGATTTCAGGGAAATAAAATGAAAACTCTAAAAAACCAAGTATTTCTGTGACTATCTCAAATTCAAATGATCTAACACATCCACTTATTTTACTGACAGATGTGCAAATTTCACACTTTCAAAAAACATAGCTTCTTACAAATATTTTTTAGTGTTTTCAGGAAATGTAGGAGAAGGTGTGAACTCATATAGGAAAATATTCGAACACTTAACTGTGAATTTACAAACAAAACTTTTTTTAATTATGGTAATTATTTTTGCAGGATTAAGCATGCTTTACTGGCGATTCCGTAACTTTTCATCCTAGTCTAATGGAAATAGCACAAGACGTCATGTTCTCACACTGTTATGAAACTTCTTGATCAAGAACCAGCCTGGATGTTCAGTCTGCTAAACTAAGAGTACACTTTGGTTTTTAAAAAGGAGGAGAGAGGTGGGCAAAGAAGGAAGCTGTTCCGTATTTCCAGAAATGATAACTAGAACCTAAATAAATATCTTAAATGCAAATAAGATCACGAGAATCTGTAACTACCGTGCACTCGGCTTAATAACAGCGAAGGGCTACCCGCATCTGCAGAGTCGGTGAGTGTCGGTCTCCCTAGCATCCATAAAGAGGACGGCCAGGCGGTGCCCCTCACCGACTGCTCTCCGGGGTAAGTAGGCAAAGCTAGTTTTAAATGTTCAAGTCGGGGGCCACGTCCTGAGTCTGTAGGGAAAATGCTAGCTTGAGACGCCCCGCGCTGCAGGCCTATTTCCTTCCTGAAACTACCGAGGGGTAGGGTGAGGCCAGGGCCAGACGCCTTGGGGGACTTCCCCCTCGCTCCATTTCGCCCTTTACCTGCCCGCCTTGGTGATGATCATCTCCGTGCCGATCTCGTGGAAGCGTTTCCAAAGCTCTGCTCCCTGTAGATCCACCCGCGGGGCCTGTGGTGAAGGCAGCGGAGTACCAGTCCGAGCCAGGGCAGGGGCTGGGGAGCCCTTTGGGGAGCCTCCAGGCGACGCCAGCGGGGACGCACCCTGCAGGAAGCCGTCCTCACAGCCGCCTGAGCAGCAGAGGGCAAAGAGGGGTAACCGGTGAGGGTTCCAAAGGGGAAGCCGGCCACAGAGATGAACCCCTAGACAGGCTGCTGGGGAAAGGAAAAGGACCAGGAGGAAAGGGGAAATATTTCGTTCCCTTGGTCCCTCTAATAAACCGGCGCACGAGTAAAACACTCGCTTGGCCCTCCACAGAGACACTTGGCATTCAAGTGGCACCTCCTTGGCATCTAAGGATCAAAACGAGGAGAGGTGCGCACTGGGCGGCGTCCATCCCATTCACCCCTGGCCTCCGCCCGGCCAAGGCCCCAAAGTAACTTTCGCAGCGCCTTTGTCAAGGTCTGGGACCCGTGCCCAACCGAGCCAGAGACAGGTTCTGAATCCAAATCCCCAGTGGAGAGTCTCCGACAGCCCCCACCCCCGCACCCGCGAGCGCACCCAACAAAAAGACGCCCCAAGTGCCAGGGCCTCCCTGCGCATCAGGCGTCTGAGGCGCGTAGCTTTGGGCAGAGCCAGAAGCATCTTGAGAAAACCTTTCAGATTTCGCTCTCACCAAACTCCCAAGCCGCGCTGAGCTCCTAGCCAAGCAGCCAAAGAACGACAAGAACGCGATAAGTCAGCCCTAGAGTGGTAGCCGTCGGCCTTGGCAACGGGAATGAGATGGGAAGGACGGGAAAGGCTCAGCTACCCCTCGGGAAACCACGTTTGCAAATACGCCGCCCTCTTCCTGGTTTGCCACAACGGTTTAGGGCATTCGTTCCGGTTTTGAGAGGGTTATGCCGTCGCAAAATCCCCCCTCCCCATACACACACACACACCATCTCCAAGCTTTGAAAAGTTGAGAAAGGAAAAAAGAGCACCCATTGGCTGGAACCCCAAGAGAGGCAGCCGCGGAAAGCACAGATCTGCAGCGCCGAGCACCGCAAACAGCCGCGGCTGAGCGCGCCGGGGATGCAACGGGCCTGCGAGGCTCGGATGGAAGCGACATTTTAGCAGTCTGGGGGGCGCCCGGGATTGCACGGCGACAGCAGCCAGGGCGGCGGAGAGCTCTGCGCCTTTACGCCCAAGGCGAAGGTGCCCGTGGCTGAGTTGCCTTGGGCACTTCTGGGCACCGCGCGCGCGCGCCTGCAACTCCCAGAAGTTCAGGTTCTCGGCGGCCAGCGGGCCAGCGAGAGCTGGGAGGAGACGCGCAGGGAGGAAATTAAGCAAGAAAGGGCCGACTCACCCGAGGCTTCGCGGGAGCCGCAGCTCCGCTCCAGGTTTGCGCAGCTCCGGGCGGGCCCGGACGCGGACCCGGCGGCTGGTGGCTGCGCCGCGCCTTCGTCTCCCTCGGAGGAGCCCTTTTCGTCCGCGCCGCCGCCGAGGCTGCAGCCTCCATCATCTCCAGCTGCGGTGGCCTCTTCTGCGCCCAACTTTCGCCGCTTTTTCTGAAGCTGTTGCTGCTTCTCCGCGCCGATCAGCGCCTCCACGGAGAAGGCGTGCGCCTTGAGGCTCAGCATGCTGCACGGCGATCCCCTCCGCTTCTCGGCCATCCCCGCCGCCCGCCGCCCGCCCGCCCCTCGCTCATATACACTCGCGCGGGCACAGGCGCACACTCGCTCGCCTCCCCCCACCCGAATTGGAACGACTCTCAGGGCCTCCAGCAGGCCGAGATCTGCCCCCTTCCCCGCCTCGGGCAAAAACGAATTTTGCGTTTCCTCTTTCTCGCTTGTGTTGGGATCCGAGGAGCTAGCGTCGCGCCCGCCAAGTTTCCTTCCCTCGGGCTCTCGCGCGCGCTTCTCTCACTGATGCACACCCACACGCCCACCCCCTCCACCTCCTCCTGCTGCTCCAAGATCTGCCTCGACTGATGCGCCAGAGAGGACTAACATGGGTAAAAAACACTCTGCGGACACAAATTAGGGATTGTAATTGAAATTTGTTGCCTTGATCTGTCAGCACTTCCAAGCAGGAGAGCGGTGGGAAGAACTTGCTCATTAGTGTCAATAAAGCGGCAGAGGCGGAGTCTGGGGCCTCGTCAATCACCTAAAGGAAGGGCCAATCCTAAGCGCCGACCCCACGCAGCCCGCGCCCACTTCCTTACAAGGTTGCAAAAAACTAAGAGTGAAAAGCGCCGCCGTCTGGCTTGGAAGCGCCAGCCACAGGCGCCTGAGCCCGACGGTCTCCCTGCCTCCAGCCCTTTCCAGCCTCGGAATGTCCAGCTTTCCTCTTCGGGACCTGGAAAGGCCGAGGCTCCTGGCTTGAAACCAGGACGATTGCTAAGTTAGAAGAATCTTTCAAGAAACCTTAAAATCCGTCCCACATCCTTATCATTTAACATTGCTGCAACTTATTTTCCGAGTGGGGAGAAATTCACAGTCACCAGGCTGTCTTTTTTCACTTAAACAGTCCATCATCTATTGTAGTCGCGTTTGCTCTCAGCTGGGCATGGCATGAAGCTTAATTAGTAAAGTTTGACTCCTTGCGTTTTGCTTAGGGAGAGAGGGGGAATGCAAGATATATTTATGTCCCTTGTATTTTAGGAGAGCAAATTTTTACCTTATTGCTCACTCAGTCCTTCACTAGAACTAGTCAGAAAAAGCACGCCCTTTCCAGAGCCTCTCATTTTTCAGAAGATGAGCATTCGTTTTAAACGTGGGCACGATAGTCTGATCCTGTATGTCTTTAATGATGAGAACTTGAAAACTCCGCAAAGTGAAATGAGTTTTAAGATGCAGTAAAATTTTCCATTGAAGTATTTTTTTAATGTCTGTGATTTTACGTAACTTCATATTTGTCCTGAGTTTGATAATTCGCCACTTCTTTTCTGTTTTTTAAAGAACCAACTCTTTCTTTAAAACAAAAAAATAATAAACAACGTTTTAAATCGAATAACATTAAACATGTCTGTACAGTTTGTCTTGTAGTTTCAATTCGACCTTTTGTCAGGATTAACAAAAAAATAGGCTTGCTGTAAATAAGGCAAATCTCTCGTGAACAAACCATGATTCATACTACTCTTAAATCTTTAGTATAAAAAGCCCCCCCACACCCCTTACTCAATTCAACCTCCACAACCGTTGCTGTTCTAGTATCTCTAATTAGTAAATTTTCAGTAGAGAGTAGCTTCCCCATCATGATCTTTTTATCCTAAAGCAAGAGAACGCGGTTGCTCCAAGGCAACCAGAAAAGCAGGCACCAGAGCAGGCAGTGCCCAGAGGCATCCAGGCACTCGCCGAATGACACATTTCCGCAGACCTGGGGTCAAAACAAAACAAAACAAAACAAAAACGACCTGGTGAAACCCTTGGCGCGTGAGGCCTCTTTTAAAACGTTAAGAAACAGATTCAACAGGAAAGAGTTGTTTTGCATTTGTAAAAGAAGACTGCAAAAAGTCTGGAACTTTTGGGGCCCGGGCGCGGTCCGTACCTCGCCGCTCCACAGGCGGGTCGTAAAGTCTTAAAAGTGAGCGCAAAAAGTGTTTAAGGCAGGTAAAGGGAGGGAGTGGGTCTGGCAGAGCAAAGAGGCCGCCTCGAGGTTTTGGGCCCCCACTTGGAGTGGGATAGAGAGAAGAGTGGGGGGTGGGACTATGCGAGCGTGCAGGAGGCTGCCCCACGAGCTCCGCCAAGGCGAGCTGGATCCGGAATTCGCATCTTGCTGGAGGTACCAGGAGCCCCGCTCCAGGCCCAGGTTCCGCGTGACCCGCAGGAAGAGCAATCCCAAATGCCTCCGAGCCTTCCTGGCGGCCCTGGAGATTTAGAGGACTGGAAAATGAGGCCCACAGGACTGTTCAGGCCGGCTCAGACCGGGTGCCTGGACAAGAGCGAGAGGTTTATTTAGAGAAATCCGAGGCCGCCAGGGACAAACGCGTTTCCAGATGCAAATGCTGCTTTGTAAGCAAGCTCTTGTCCTGTCGTTTGTCCGGTAGCTCAAACTGATTGAGAGCGGATTACACTGCCCCAAGGCCTCTGGTGAATACTTCTTTTACACTTCTTTTGCTCTTTCCCGGGGTTTCTAGAGCCCCAGACCGCCGAACGCCGGGACACCCGCGGACTTGTGTTCGTACATACTACAAATTGGAAAGTTGGATCTCAGACACCCAAGATGTCAAGTAGACCGTGACCCTTAGAAATAATCAAGGTGTACGCGGGGCGGCCGGGACTGAGCTAGTGCACCTCTTAATGCACATCCAGGCTCGTTTTAAGGAGCGTTAGCGATAGAGCCACAGCGCCACTCGCGCCTCCGGCTCCTCTAGAATCCAGACTTAGGCTCGGCAACCCAAAGAACCAGCTGGCCGGACCCGGAGAAGCAGCGGGCCAGAGAATTTAGCTCACTCAGAACTTTGCTCCGGGTAGGGACAGAGCATGGAACCTCTTCCAGGCTCAGGAGGGAAGACAGCACGAGTTGGCGCACAACCTTTGAAATAATGGCTGAAACATCGCCCTAACGAGGCGTTTCCCCCAAATAAGGCATGTGCTTGTTTGGGCGCAGCCCGAACAGGTCAGTGAATTGGCCAGAGGAAAGGTCAGAGAGGAGCGTGCGCACGTGCCTGTGTGTGCTGGTGTACACGAGTGTGCACTTGTCCGTATGTCCACGTGGGCGTGGATGCACGTGTAAACTTGGGTGGGGTCGTATCTAGGGGGGGGGGAGCGTGCCTCTTGTCACTTTGGGGGAAAATGTCTTTTCCCAATATAAGCTTTGTTAAACAAAAAGGAATTAAACTGTCAGGCCTCTGGCAAGGCTAGCCCGACTCTATTTCAAATATGTCATCCCCAAAAGAACTTTATCGGTGTGTCAGTCTAGGGAGTGGGAGGTGAGAGGAGGGCAGAAAAGGCAGAAAAGAGCCTTGTGTGTTCTGATTTATACCTAGTGGAATCCGTGTCCAGCCAGAAAGCAAAATTAACAGGGGCAAACTGGTGCTTTTAGAGAGCATATACAAATTCTCTTTATTTGTCTTAGTCCACTTTAAAATTGGACAGTTCTGAAGGATTTTTAAATAAGCTTTCTCTCTGTTGACTCCCTCTGCTTTCAGCCTGCAGCCTGTTTATTCAGTATAAATGTATACACTATTTAGAGAGAGCTTACTATTTCATATTGCTTGTATTTTATTTATTCATTAACATTTGTTTAGTTTTCAATCAAAATTTAAAATCATTCACTAGGTAGTCATTTTTTCCCTTTATCTTTTACATTTGACAATCCCCTTAAGAGTTTCTAACTCTTTTGCTTGATTTCCCAGACTCCACACCTGACACAGGGAGGTGAACCCTGGCATACAGTCTTTTCTTGGCCCCTGACCACCAGGTGCATAAGATGAAGCAATGATTTCCAAAGAGGCAAGATTCTTAGTTCTCCAGGTATAAAAAGACACTTATTATTAGCTACAAGAGTAACACTGAGAAAAACTCAGGAATAGATGGGAAAGTGGGGGTGAGCAAGGGCCCGTTTTAAGTATCAAGAAACATACTATCTGGCTGTGATCTGGAAAAAGCTCTATTCTCACTGGCAGCCTTATATTGCAGAAGTCTCCTGAGTCTCTCCTCCCTTCTTTTCCCTACCTTTCCCCACTCTCTTCTTTCTCTTTGCACATCGGCTTAGTTTCTCCCCTCTCCCTCTGGTCTGGCTTAATAACAAACGATAAGTTGTAACTGTTGTATAAATTTACAAAGACTAGGAGAATAAATTCAGGCGTTGGCAAAGCGGGAATTCTAGCGAGTCTCCTTCCTGCTGATTTCTGGCTGCAGCGGCAAATCCAGGCCCAGTGGAGAAATCAATCCAGTACCGCGATTCCTTGCTGCTGGCTTTTATCGTGGATTTGCACACACAGACAGCACCTCCCCGCGTATTGGCGATGGCTTTCATATTTTTCTCTTCAAACAGCTAGAATCTTCCCTACTACGATCAGTTGAGACCAAGTCCCGTCACAAAATAACAGCGAAGCCTGTCTTTTTGGATCGCCAGAAAACCAGAACCCAGTTTCTGGACAGGAGAGTTTCTGTTCTAGAAATGATTTTCAATCAATGCTCACATTTTTCTGGGACTTAGAAGAGGTGCTAGATTTGAAGGGAGTTTAAAGAGTGTAGTCTGAGGATGGTCTGGTCTTCATTCCTCGCTCCCACTCACTTCCAAGTACTCCTATTTAGCGGGAGGCTGGAGCGTTTCCACTCATGACTAATTTCCAGCAGGATCTGCTCTGTCTCCAGAAGATATTGCATTTTTTTTTATCCTTTTCGGGAGAAAATTATGCCTTCACGTTCCCATTCATTGACCCACACTTCTCCCTTACCTCTACAAAAATGTCCAAGAAAACCACATCTATTTCTATCACTAACACCTGATCCAAATATAAGATGACTCGAAAAAGGTAATGAAATTAACATCCAGAGAGAAAATGAATAACAAGATGTTAATTGAACATTGCAGTGCCAATATTATATCTGATTTGTACATAAATCTAACTGAAACAATGGATGGGAAAAACAACATTCTCTAAATAGTTAATGGATATTTTACTAGCTTTTTGCTATATAAATGCAATTTATACTGATAATTA